GCGGACCCAGACACGGGGGACACGGTCCCGCTGTGCCAGGCCATGGACAGAAAGCTGGTCAAGCGGGAGGAGGCGCTCCGTCTGCTGGAAGTGCAGGTGGCCACGGGCGGGGTCGTCGACCCGCGGCACCACCTCCGGCTCCCGCTGGATACAGCCTACGAGCGCGGCTGTCTGCGCCGAGACACCTACCCCCTGGTGTCTGACCAGAAGCACATGAACAAGAGGTTCGTGGACCCCAACACCCACGAGAAGGTGACGTACCAGGAGCTTCAGGGGCGAAGCCGCCAGGAAGAGGGGACGGGCTGGGCTCTGTTCCCCGTGACCCGCGACGAGAAGGACACCACGCACATCGACGAGGCCACGAGGAAGGCCCTGGAGGTCGAGCGGGTGGACGTCCCGGTGGGCAGGTACCGGGGACAGCGGCCGTCCGTGTGGGAGCTGCTGAACTCCGAGTACGTCACGGAGGAGAAGAAGCTGGAGTTGGTGGGAAAATACAAGCGGGACACGGCCAAGGCGCTGGACAAGGTGGTGAACAAGATCTTCGTGATGATCGACGAGAAGGAGAAGAGCGCGAAGCAGCTGTGGTTCCGGGGCATCCGGAGGCACATCACGGCCACCGAGCTCTGCCGGGCGGCCATCATCAGCCAGGAAACGCTGCGGCAGCTGGAGGCGGGACACAGCAGCGTGGAGGACGTGGGGCAGGACGCCAGCGTGAGGCGCTACCTGGAGGGCACGAGCTGCATCGCGGGGGTGCTGGTGCCCGCCAGGGACCAGCCCGGGAGGCAGGAGAAGATGAGCGTCTACCAGGCCATGTGGAAGGGCCACCTGCGGCCGGGCACGGCCCTGGTGCTGCTGGAGGCCCAGGCGGCCACCGGCTTCCTCATCGACCCCACGGAGAACCGGAAGCTGACCGTGGAGGAGGCCTTCGGGGCAGGGATGTTCGGCAAGGAAACCTACCAGAAGCTGCTGTCGGCCGAGCGGGCGGTCACCGGCTACACCGACCCCTACACCGGGGAGCAGATCTCCCTCTTCCAGGCCATGAAGAAGGACCTGATCGTCCGGGACCACGGCATCCGCCTGCTGGAGGCCCAGATCGCCACGGGCGGCATCATCGACCCCGTGCACAGCCACCGCGTGCCCGTGGAGGTGGCCTACAAGAACGGCTACTTCGACGAGGAGATGAACCGCGTCCTGGCCGACCCCAGCGACGACACCAAGGGCTTCTTCGACCCCAACACGCACGAGAACCTCACCTACATGCAGCTGCTGCGTCGCTGCGTGCGCGACCCCGACACGGGGCTCTACATGCTGCAGCTGGCCGGCCAGGGCTCCGTCGTGCGC